CCGGGCTACTCGAAAACTTCGGTTCCCAAGCCCGTCAATCCCCGTGAATCCCCGTGAATGCCCGTAAACTGAAGGTCACTGTGAAGGACGCCATTCCAGAATTCTTGGTCGCGCAAGGTTTGGTACAGCCGTTGCACAACTGTTTTGACTTAGTTGTGAATCGTGTGAGGTAAGACGAAAGTGATCTCCAACACTGACTTTGAATGCCCGTCTTTTACCATCGATACGGATTTTTCCTGGGTGACGATGCTTTTTACGGCTGACGGTACTCGCCACCATGCCTCTCAAATCTCGTTTTTAATTGGCTTTACTCTTTAAATTACATTTGTCGTTCTTTGCGAAGTAATTGTCCAATGTTGGGTACATTTTAAGACAGAATGACATAACTTGCTGTTACTAGGATGACGTCATCTGTAAGGTGAGCCCAATGCAATTTATTAATTATTTTTTGAATTATAATCATGAAAAACATGCACATTCATCATTTTATGCCGCAATTCATTGATGTACTGTGCGATAGCACTGATTGGCAATGTATTTATTTTGTCATTTTCAGTAAAACAGTATAGATAGACATATATGTAAAGACCAATCTTCAATCTTCAGTATTGAGGCCGAGTGCAGGATACCCGTGTAAGCTCCGTCACCACTGGGTCGAAGGTTCAATCACATGTTTTCGTTCCTCCATAGCTCCTTAGGGTGCCCATACAAACGCCATGTTAAAGCAGCGTCGGTCTTCACCACAGTCGCTGGAAGGGAATTCCAGAGGGTTATTGACCTCCGCAAGGGTGGGTAGACCAACGGAAGACCAACCGACTGAAGTTTGCGCAACGTAACAGAGTGCCCCTGCGTGCGTTCCTCCGTCCGTAAATGAAAATGTCACTGCAACTCCGGGCCCATATCACCTCTCAAGGTTTCCCTCAAACCCATCAGATCTCCCCTGAAGCGCCGATACGCAACTGGGAACAGATTTCAATAAATTTAAAGCTTCTCCACAAAGAACAAATATTGGAGGTATATATATGCGCATTAGTTATATGCCTAAAACGTCTAAAACAATACTTCTCTTTCAGCGCACACTTTATGAGGTCAATTCCGCTGTTCCAATTGATGTGCATGTCTGGACCTATGGTTCATGTTAGTTTGTTTTCTGCACCTTGCAGGTCAATCATAAAGGCCCTCTGGAAAACCGCGAACCCCTCAGTGATCCCCAGAAAAGCGCAGGTGATTGGTCGTTTATCACTCGTATATCGGGTGCCCGGCCTTGGCGATAGATCACTGGTATTCGTGTATCGAAAACTTGCTCGAGTGTATCTCGCGAAAAGTCACAACACCGTAAGCTCGGAGTGCTGTTGCCCACTACAAGGTTCCGTTGGTGTCATCTCTCGGAAAGGGGTGCATAATGAGCGTAGATCCTCGAGGCCGTTATGTATTTTTTAAAGATAGACCAGAATGGTCAGATGTCACCCCTGTTCCTCAAGATGAATTTGGACGAAATATAGTCAAGATTGCCTATTCTCCACAATATCTGGATGCCAATGATTATTTACGCGCTGTTCTGCTTAAAGATGAACGAAGTGAGAGAGCTTTGTCTGTTACGACTGCCNCGACTGCCGTTCTTTTACTTAACCCTACGAATTACACCGTTTGGGAGTATAGACGGCGAATCTTAGAGACCCTTGGGTCCGACCTTGATGCAGAACTGAAGTTTGTTAGTGAGCTTATTGATGACCACTCGAAAAATTATCAGGTACGTTTTTGTCTCATACGTATTACGATACGCCATCATTTTATTCTGATTGAACTGGTTGATTAAGATTTTAAGTTCTACACTGGTTATGCCATTTCTAGCATTGATTTTGCCCTTCATTTGCTTTGGCTCTCACGGATCCCGTTATTAAATGTTCCATCCCTTCCCTTTAAATAGTACTCGTCCAGGACTTCTTTTAGTATTTGAGTATTAGCTGGTTCAGTAATTCCCATTTTTCCTGAGGTTACTGGACTTTTAGCTTCGGTCCAGATTCAGATTATTACACTCATGAGCTACTGATCCTTGTTTTCTCCAGTGACAGGTATTTCGCGAATTGTTCGGATGGTGTTAACAATGTTTAAGCATCAGTTTGTGCAGACAATAAGCGGCGTGCGAGTACTTCTTGTTACTTTTGTTTTTGGACCTAAGACTCCTGATGCGACTTTCTATCCGTGAGGTGTGCAGTCCAACAATTGCGTGAAATTTTATTCGCTAATACCAAATCGTTTGTTAGTATTAATTCTGAGTTAGTTGAGTTTGCTTAACCAACTCAGGTCTTGCGGTATATTTTGTCGCATTTTTGAACGGTTTCAGGTGCTTGAGTCTAGATGGTTGGTTTGAATAACCCATTATCTCCTCCTTTAGGTTCGCTTCCCAAAAGGAGCTAAGTTTTCGGTTTCACAGAATGGCTTATAGTAGAGTATAGGAGAGTGCACAATGAATAAATCTCGCGTGTTGTGCTTGAGTTAGGATTGTTTTCTAGTCATCTAATAAACTGATTGTCTGGCGAACACAGATATGGACGTTGTGGAACTAGGTGCATCTGAAAAGTAGGTACAGAAGCACCGCTACTTGCAACACCCCAATCTTCTCCAGGCATTCAGATCAGTCTGTACAACAACTAACTAACGGTTTCGATTGCTGTCTTTTGGCTGCCTATTGGGATGAAGGGGTAGAAGGAGGATCGGAAATTTGAAAGCAATGTTGGAGAGAAAATGTGGGATCCCGGCAGACTAGGGCTTCTGAAAATTGAGACTGCACGAGTGCCATTGTTTGCAACACTCAACTGTATCACTCAGGGTCCTTAACTATTGATTACAATGATCCTGAGGCCTCAATCCAGGGAGCCTAACGCGACCTATGTGACCGAGTCTCCTGGTATGGATCTCTGCAAACTTCGCGCACGGTGGCAACTTATTTGGTGATATACGTAATACCTCAACCAGCCTAATCTATGGAGGTCGACCACTTCAGTGGGCCACCATGACCACCTAAAACTGCTCCTAACCTAAGCATTTCTTATTCGGTTTTCTCACCACATTCGTGCAGTGGTGCGTAAACAGCAGTGTTCAAACACCAACAGTCCATCTTTATCCTGTTTTCATAATGACCACGTTTCTATGCTGTATAGCAGCACCGGCGAAACTGTTGTAGCATACACTACCTTTCACAGACAACATGAGATAAAATCTAACGTCAACTATCCTCTAAATAGGCACACCAGAACTCCCCTTCTATGTCGCCTATTCCGTCTGCCCCTCCAATTCTAAGGATTATTAACCCCTTGGAAAACAAAAAAATATTTCCCACTCCCAAACACGACGACCCCTCGGACCCCAGTAAATATGGCCCCGTTTCCCTCTCAAATCACTTATCTCAGGTGTTATGAAATTATTAGTTGCTAATCAACTCCGCCATTGTCTGAGACAGAGTACGCTTCCTAACTAGCATCGGAACGATTTTCGACCCTATCAATCTATCGGTAATCTTCTGATGCTCTTTTCGCATTCATAGACAACAGAACTTAGCAGCCACAGAGAACCTTACGTGATGTAGCGGGACTTAACGAAAGCTTTCGATCATGTCTGGCACGCAGATCTGCTGGCTTTTCTTCGAAACTTGTGTGCTGGATAGCAAGTTGTCTTAAGGGCCCCACCATCTCAGGGTCAACGGGACCATGTCTTGTTATTGCTAGTGTCTCCCAAGGTTCTGTACTTTCTTTCATACTTTTTCTGATTTTCATTGACACCCTTCTTCCTTTACCTTCAATATTTTTCACGCATTGGCTGATGATACTAATATACACTCCTGTTTATCTTATCTTCTCTTTCTCCCCGCGAATTCTGGTATTCGCAATGACGACAACATTCTCAGCATCTCGTTAAACTATAATCTTGATCTTATTTCCTATCGAGCCTGTCGTAATCATGCTATGGTGAATACCAGTGAAAACTCACCCATATTTCCTAAACGTGAATCCCCTTATTAGATGTTGAGTATAACGTTATCTTTTCCGCGGATTTATGCAGCTTATTAGGACTGGGCTTATCCTCTTTCATGGTCAATCTATTTATTTACTTGCTTTCTGTGTTGCACGCATTGTTGACGCTTCCATGTCAGATATTTCTCATCCCCATTCGCTTCTCACTTTATAAAGATCAGAATCGCTCTACTACTACTAATAATTGTAAAGTATTCTACAACAACGTATCAGTTACGTTCGTTGCGGTTAGTGCCGTCTAACCCACCTGATGATTATCGAACTATAGTATTGATTCATCAATAGACTAATTCTGAAAGGTTTGCCCGGGCCAATATACCCAACCTTACGAATGCGGCGTGTCGAAAATACGCTCCTGAGTATAAGTGTTATAGTTCCAGAAGGCGGTGCTGGTCGAGGACAATCGTTTATTGAGAATAACAGATGGGACTTAAGTAATTTGGCATACATAACACAGAAAATCTCTTCAGAAACATACCATCACAGTTCCTAGCCGCACGACGAGTAATGACCGTAGCAATCGATATTTATTCTCTGAGATACAGCAGTTTACCCTCAGTGATCTTTATTTTTGATCGCCGAAAGTAATCACCAACTATGTTACCTACTACTCACAAGTGAGTCGTATCTCACAACATAGATAGTGATTGTGGCGCAGTGGTTCAGTCGCTGTCACCGGCGTGCTTTGGACCCCATAGTCCAAGGTTCGAGCCCCGCCACCCAACTTTGGTGGTAGGCAGCTGTGCTGTCGTCCGGTTCAATACCGCGCCTAACCTTATGTAGTTCACCACAACATGTCCCGGGGTTTAGGTTACCGCTTTCCATCATTGAACAGCAAGTCCTCGTGACTATGGGGTTTACCGCGTCTGTTATTCCTCACACAAAAGTATGTAATAAAAAAGCCTACGCAGAGATCGCGAAATCTAGAGAACTCAACGTATATCAAAAGTGGAACGTTCTGCTACAATGGACATATCCACCATCTGAGGTGGAAATCCTCAGGGACCCAAGCATTTGGAGGTCACAAACACTAGGCCTTCCACCAATTCTATTTAAAGATGTTGAGATAAACCTTGTTAGAAAATTGGTGGCTCTGTTCTCTAAAGTTCAGAATACTGAGCAGGTCCCCTCCTCTTGAGGGGGAGGGGGTCGATTGTCTTCCCCATTTTTAAAAATGACCCGCGCAGTGGCTGCGCCAGTCACAAGGATATAATCCTGATCCGAATAGCGTCAACCCTCTTGGCGTAGGTCATTCCCAGCCTATTGTACAATATTCGCGAAAAGCAGACTCACGAGCAGTGGGTTAAATTTCGCACCGATCGTGGATGCATCGATGAAATCGTCGTTCTTCAACAGTTGCTAGGGCACCGCCTTGTTTGACGGGGACTAACGATCTCTCTGTTCCTAGACATTCACGCGACCCTGGAATTCATCGATAGGAACACTGGAAATTTTCGCTGAGGATTTGAGTACCTGAGAAGTGTGTCCATCGTCAAAGAGCTGTATCTTTATACCTCAGTTCAGATAAGGGCCAAGAGTCACCCTTCGCGGTCTTCAGTGGAGTTCGGCAAGACTGCCCTATATGACCACAGGACGGTCTCCAGGACGCCTTGTCCTATCTGCCAAACGGTAAAGTTGATCTCCTACCAGGAATCAGAGTTCTTGACTTAGAATATGCCGATGACATCGCCTTGCTGGGTGACAATACACGGGTAATCCAACACGCTTTAAACCGCTTGGTGATCAAGGTACCATGGTATGGTATACACTGCGCTATACAAGTACAAAGTGCTTATTCATGACTGGCAGAAGCCTGTCTGCACTTACCCTTTGTCGCGAGCAGCCATCAATAGTGCCAAGCTTTAATTACATCGGGAGCTGGTGTCAAGTGGCAAGCATGGGTGGCCAGTGATGAGGTTCGTCGTGATGTGATGGGTGCCAATAGCTATTCTCTGTGATGGTTTGATCACGTTTTTGTATGCCTGCCCATTGTCTACCTTTCCGTGTTCTCTGCACGTGCCTGGCAACGCTGGAACAAGCGCTGTGGCGGTTGGACTATGACATAGTGTAGAGGAATGAAGCTAGCGTCACCTTTGGCTTCGGTTGATTCATTTAGCCCAAGGGATTAAGATTATCGTTGGTTAGAGACGATGAGAGATATCGCCCAGAATAGAAGTTAGTAGCACGAATGTTGTGCAGTCTGCCCGTTCAAATTTGATGTCTCATAAGACGCGGTGGTGGCCCGATGATAACATCACCAAATTATCACCCCGGGGATGTGTTCGAATCCTACCACCGCCGCCTGACTTTCCCCTTTTGTGTTAAATGGTAACTTCTTGATTGGCCGCTTCCCACTTCCTTAAAAATTGTATCTTTGTATATCCAATAAAAAGAAAGTGAAAATAAAAAAAGACAAGAATGTTAAATTAACAAAAACCATCAAAAAGTGAACAGTGAACAAAATACATAGTTATTTTTGTTTGGTGTGCTTGGGTCAGAAGTTTGATTTATATTACAATAAGTAGTATATGAATGATTCGGCCAAATTTCCCTAAATGCACATACTGGTTTCGCGATTTTCGTCGCTCGTCAGGTATGCGTATTCGGTAATCTTAACTCATATATATAATAAGAGGTATATATATACGTATATAGTCCACCTACAAAACACTGAATCATAGTATTGATTCTTCAATGGACTGGCTCTGAAAGAGCTGTCTATCCGAAAATCACCCGGTGTTGCAAACAAGGTTATTGTGACGAAAATTCACTTCCTGGGTACAAGTATATGAATGAACTGCTGTACACCCGACCTTCCAGTTTCAATGAAACATCGCTTCTACACCAAGGGAGTTTCAGTCCTGCGTAAGCTGCTCCAGCCTTGGAAATGTGAACGGTTACTTTGCAGATACAGCGACCGCAATGGGTTTCGCGGCATTCCTTTGCAAAACAGCGACCCCAGAATAGCCAAGTGTATCTAATCATCGGTTACGCTGATCTCCATCCGGGAAGCGTAGTACGATCTATGTGAGCAAGTTTCGTGATCAGGGTTTTCATTCCTTCATGCCAGGTCTTAGTCTGATTACATTTACGGGGTTTATCCGATTCAGTTATGCATACCAAATAAGGTCAATGTTATAATTAACCATGACAGAAGAGTTTCGGGGTCGTGTACACCAGATTGGTATCCGACTTTTGTTCAGTTTCACAAATCTCCGGTTATTTCACACTCATGACTTTTCTCCCCGTGAAGATACGTCAACTTTGCTTGACAATCTATGGTTGATCTCGGGTATATGGTACAAATTGACATACCGGATACCAATTCGTATTTTCCTTCAAGGTTACACTCCCTGCCGTTGCACAACTAAAGCCACCTAAGTGCAACAGCGTAAGAATGATGGTCCTAGTTAGGGTCGAACCTGCTGTACTCCACCACACTCACCTCTGTGTGCTGATAATTGTGGCCTTATGTTGCAGACATATCGTTCAACTGGGTGAGAACCCGCTACATCCCTAGACAACCTCTCCGACTGTCTGCAACCATTTATTCAGTAAACCACTGCCCACCTATTCATCGCTTAACATAAGTGTGACCTTTTTACTATGTGTGACTTGGGAGAGATGATGCAGTGGCATACAGTTCCGCCGATCGTAAGCCTTGAGTAGCTTTCTGCCTCCGAGGTCCTCCTTGTGAAATATAAATATAGAATAAATGTGAGTTGGCTGAGTATTTTGATCGAAAAGGAATACATACAAGATGAAATTTGAGTCTGTAGATCAGTCATTTTCTTCGATATTTTATTATCTTTTGTCATAAATTTTTCACCTCGATGTAGATTTTCACCTCAAATAATTTACTATAATCTAACTAATCTTCCAGGTTTGGCACCACCGCCAATGGGTTGTGACCAAGTTGTCAACACAGCTAGATTCGACAAAGGAAACTGATCCTCAGCAGTGGGGTTTCGGCGAACTCGATTTTACGGACAGAGTGATCTCAGATGATTCGAAGAATTATCATGCCTGGCAGCATCGTCGATGGGCAGTGACACATTTCAAAATGCCCGCGGACGGAGAGCTGAGATACACCGAAACGCTTATACAAGAAGATATGTACAATAATTCCGCATGGAGTCACCGGTTTGTGGTTGTTACACAAGATGAGGGACTCACACCAACTGTCCTTGAACGTGTAAGTTTTTCAACATTCATGTGTGATTGATTTGCACGGACTTCACCTTCACGCACAATCCTCGTTTCATTGGTTCAACCGTACACTCGAAAGCACCAAATTCGAGTTTCCCTCTTAATAGAGCTCGTCAGTGGTGCATATCCACCGTCCCATGCGGGATTTGAACTCCGGACCCATCGTATGAAAGGCGTGTGCGTTACCACTGTGCCAACCAACTCATGCCATTACTGACTGAATTGCCAATTCACGTAGTCTTCGGTGATAGCCAGTCAGTTTATTTGGCTCGACAACAACAAAGGGAGACAGATGACAATCTGTTGACTCCAATCGAAAGCCTCGCTCCAAATCAGGACTTCATGTGCTTAGTACAGTGCTTAGTACACAATCGCGTGTTTTCTTATTTCACATCAGTGAATACGGTAAAAGGGGTTGACACCAAAAATCCGTGGAACTACTGTACATGGATTCCGAAAGGAACACTCAAGCTAGAGCCACCTTGTTGATTCTGCTTTCAAAGGCCAGGATGTTATCTGTTAGAGGGATGGCAAAAGAGAGAAGGATTTCATAGTATTTCAGTGTTTTTTAGGAAAAGGTTATCGAAATTTATAAATGCGGTACCTGGAATAGTCACCAAAATGTTTGCCCAGTCGCTTGTGTATGAGGCTTATAAGAAAGAACAAACCAGTTTCAGTTTCTACAACCATTAACCACGTACTACCGTGCGCCGGTTTTGTTTACTATCTTTTGGTTGCCCATTTGAATGAACATAAGGAGAAAGACAGAAAAGGTCCAAAGTAGGATCGAACAGAAAATTTAGGATTTCATCGCACTAATTTTGCAGAGAAATCGACGATGCACGAACGCCACTGTTTACGACACCCAGCCATATCGCTCAGTGTCTCTAACCATCGACGATTCGAACAGAAAATGGAGAAGTTCAGTGGACTAAGGTTGGAAAGAAATTGAGAAGATGCAACACTGTTTACGACACCCAGCCATATCACTCAGTGTCTCTAACCATCGGGTATGATCATCCTGATGTCCCATCCAGGGAGCCTACAGGGATCTATGTGATCCAAACCCCTGGGAAGGGTTTTCATACCCTCATTCCAGATCTTAGCTTGATCACCCTTGACCTTCTTCCACTCACTGCCTGCATCGGCGAACATCGCTCGCCGTTGCAACTTATTTGGTGACTGGCGTAACACATGCCGAACGAACCAGAGAGGGATAGAATAGGAAGTTCTGTTGAACAAAACCAAATCAGTAGTAGGAAAACGAATAAGCAAGCAATTGTGCCACATTTTGCGGATAACAGGGGATTAGACCCGCGAACAACAACCATACCACTACTACTACTACTACCACTTAACACATTAGACAAACCGACCTGCGTCACCCAATCTGATCGTTACTATTTACATAGACACGTTTCGCCGCTTGGTGGGTCGGTCACTTGCGTCCTTCTTTCAACCACTAAGCCCCAGATAATGTATCGAGTTTCATTGATGGACACAGATCCGCGGTAAATCTATCGGGAATGCCTTTTGGTGCTGCTTGATCGTTCGTCACCTGACGATGGTTGACTCTCTATCTACGTAGACGGTTTTAGAACGGATGAGACAGCACAGTGAACTTGGTGTCAGCGCACTCCATGAAAGCTGCGTTGTACCTAGTCAACCATTCAGATCAAAGATAAACAACAGAGGTGGTTAGTCAGAATCCACAACCAATCAAAACAGTTGAAAACAATCCAGTCAACCCGTGTTTTCAGCTTCGGTTTTTATAACCATTAACCTTGCACTTTCGTGCTATAAATGGTCGTCGTTTCGGTGCAGTGAATTATTCCCTCGTTTTCAGCTTTTCTACTTTGCTATCTGTGGAATCCCCGTCTGAGCGACGGACGTTATTGGAGAACAGTTATTTGAGGACCGGGCCGAACGGCACGAACAATCGATTGCGGTAAACTTACTTCTGTTCCTAGTTTGTAGCCAGCACCACGTAAGCGAGTTAGGGGAACAACTACATCCTCGCCTAGTGGAACAGAAACTTACCTGCCGACGCGCTGACCCTAGATCACAAATCCGGAACCACTGTGCACAAACAGACCAGAAGATTTTGATGGATAGCCTAGAGGTTTTGATAAAAGCTTAGAAAAAAGGGTAAAAACCAATTCTCGAAGCCTTACACTCGAGCAATTCGTTCAACAACACATCGAGGTGGACAAAGATTTCGTCACGCCTTCAAGACCGGTGGCGATTGTTAAACTCACAGACAAACAGCCTTCTGTCGCACGGAAATACGGGAATCTCATGCACTCATTTACGTTTGATAACAAGTTCCAATTTTTTGAAAACGTCAAAATAAACTTTTTATTTCAATGTGCGTCCTCACTTACATATATATCATAATGAGTAGTATATAAATGACTAGACAATTTCCCTGGGAACCCACGACCGGTTTCGCGGTTCTTTCCGCTCGTCAGGCATGCGTATCCGGTAATCTTTCGTCTTTTCATGTATATACCTAGGCCCAAGAAGTGTATTTTTGTCACAATAACCTCATTTACAACTCCAGGTAAATTTGTTTGGACAGCTCTTTCAGGACTGTCTATCCAAAACTATCCATTGTTGCAAATGAAGTTATCGTCACAAAAATGCAATTCCTGAGTGCAAGTATATGAATGAACTGACAAAATGTTAGTGAAGACGCTTGCCTGACGAACGGCAAGAACCGCGAAACCGGTCGTGTGCTTCCAGGGAAATTGTCTGGTTATTTATATACTACTTATTATGGTACGCATATACGCATATACTGGTGACCCACTGAAAAAAAACTTTCCCTTCGTATTCCTATGGTTTAGATTGCTAATCACCCCAACTATGCAATAGATGTTTACAAAAATGGAGTTTATCCCTTCGGTTGTGTTCCAATCTCCACTGTGTATTAAAAGTTCAAAATATACATATCTTCCAATGTTGGGTTACTTTTGTTGAACGCTATTGTACCCCTTGTTTCCGAAGTACTATCTTTCTTTTCACTTATTTGTTTTCCTTTTAGGAGGTAGAGTTCGTCCAGCAGATGATACGAATGGCTCCGAACAACGAGAGTGCTTGGAATTACCTATATGGTTTATTGGTCCCCATGCCTTCGGTCGTCTCCAGTTCTTCCGGACCGGCTACAATACATGATTTGCCTGGATTTACCACTCAGGTGACTACGGTGAACGAGGTCGCACCCTTTACACCGGTCGATTCACCCGAGAAACGTCTAACAGCTCCCGAAATCCCCTTCGCCAATCTGGAGAAAATGCGACGTTTCGCTGAAGATCTTGCGAACTCCGACGCAGTTGCCTCCAACAGTTTAGCCTTACTAGGTTTTCTCGTGGAAGTCTATACAGACAGTTTGCAAACCAGAATCCAGAAAGAGAAACGGAAAGAACAGTGGTTAGTCAAAGAACGTGTGTGTGTGCTTCGTGAAATTCATATATAAGTAGTGCTTTTTCTTCGAGGTTAGTTTTATTATAACGTTCTCACCCGAATGAACTTCCAACCGGCTATTGAGCTATGCACTTGCTTTCAGTTTCTTGCTGTTTTTAGCCAGAAAAATGTGGGCGTTTGATCACTGATGCGGGTTGAATCATCTTTATGTAGTGATATATATATATATATATATATATATATATATTTCACACCCGTCTGAGACCAGACTGTGTGCCAAACAAATCATGCTACAATAATCTTTATGAGAAAGAAAGATGTTCCATGACTTGCATGTGGGCGGAGTAATGCCAAGTTGCCCAAGCCAAGACAGGCGAATTTTCTTGAGGAATCCACAACCGGAGCTTTTGGCTAGCCAAAGCCTGACCCGCAAGGATACGGAACGTGTGCGAAAACCATAATC